TGTGGCTGAGGCCAGTCCCTCCTGATGGAGGGATAGTCCCCAGCACTACCAGCAGCAAATGGCACCTTGGAGCTTTTGCTGTTGACCCCTCCGTGTCATCCCACTAAGGCCAGTTGTGTTTTGGAGAGTGTGAACTCCTGGAAAGCATTTTGCTTCCAAGGCAAAACAGAACTCCAGAGGTGTGGTAGGAAACCTGACATGTCCTTTTCTAGGCACTGTCTGTCCATCAGTCTCTGCAGTGCCACTACCTGTGCCACCACCTTCCCTGGGCGGCCCTGTGTTTCTGGAGGGCAGTGTTTGAAGTTTATAGCAAAACTCATCATACAGCCTAGCACTGCCTGAGATGCTTTGGGCTCAAGCTGGTGTCTCACCCAGCCTCCCCAAGAACCACACTGAGTGCCATCGGCCTCGTGCTGTGCCCACCCTGTGCCCATCCCCGTGCTGCCAGCTGTTCCTGCCACCTGACCTTGTACCACATGGACTCCAGCTGGCAGGTGACAACAACAGCCCGGGCTGTCCCAGTGCTGGACATGACTCCCCTTGCCTGGCCTCAGCTTCCTCACTGCTTTTCCCAGCTTGCCTTGTCCTGGTGCTTGGATGCTGGGGGTGTGGCAGGATGGTGATGGCTGACACCTGCAGCCATCCTGGGTTGTGTGCCTGGCAGGTGATGCCGTGGCTGAGCTGCACCATGGCTCTGGCACTGGAAACCCTCTCCATGGCCCCACCATGATGTTTGGCTCCACCACTACCTTCCCTGAAGTGCCTTTCCCCTTTCTGGTGTGTCCCAGACACCATTCCCAGGCTCAGGTACAGCTGTCCAGCAGGACAGAGATGCCACTTGTGCTCTTAGAGGTAAGACCCTGGATGGACAGAGATGCAACAGAGATGGCCAGAAGTGCCCAGGCAGCTCCCAGAGCCCTGCTAGCCAGGACAGCACCTTCAGAGCCACTTGTTCCTACTTGCTCCTGCCAGTCCTGCCCTGGCTGGAGCACTGGGGGGATTGCCTGCCCCGAGGCTGAGCCGTGGTGTGGTATTTGGGGTGAAAGAGCTGAGGTGAGCCCAGTGCCTACTGCACCCACCTTGTGCTGGGGGCATGAGTGGGGCTGGCTGGCATGACCAGCTGGTGGGGCTGTCATCTGCAGAGGATCCCAGGTGGATCTATCTCAGGAGAATCTCCCACGGATCTGTTTGGGGAAGGTCTACAGCAGGGCTACCCAGAGAGGTTCTCCAGCCATGCACCAGGCAGGTTTTGCCTCCAGTTGTCCTTTCCCACAGCTACTGGGGTTCCCATGCCCACATGGGCAACCCCCAGAACCTTTGCCCCAAAGTGGGGTGCCTGGCCATCCCCTGAATGACTGGATTTGCCCCTTTGGGTGCCCCTTTCCTCTGTGGGAGGTGGCACCCTGGCACTGCCTTTGCTTGGCTGGTAGGTGGGGGATGGAACAGCACAGGTTAAATCCAGGTTTGGGTTACTAATTTTAGGAAGACAGGCTGGGAGGAAAGCTTTGCCTGTGTGTGCTTCAGGGGAAAGGCAAAGATATTCCCAGGGCAGCTGTAGGGAGCAGTTCTCGGTGGAAGGCAAGGAGAGAGGGGTTTCTCTGCTGTGTGCCCTGCTGGGGTCAATTTCCCTGGGTAGGGGTTGCCCAGGGACTCCCCAGTTTGGGCTGTTACCCAGCTGTGCCCACCCCCCCTGTGCCCACAGCAGTGCCAGAGGCTGACCAGGGACCCCAGGCTGGGCTCACCCTGTGCTCAGTGCTGGGGGGAACCCCAGGGGTTGGGCTGATGGCATTGGGGGAACATGGCTGGTGCCATCCCTGCCCATTGCCCTTGCTGCCCATCTCTCTGGCAGGGCTCGCTCGTCAGCACAGCCTCAGGGAACATGAGACCTGTGTGCCCAGCTCTGCTGAAACCCGAACGGCCACCTGGGCCGGGGGGGCTGTAGTGCCCGGCGCACAGCGGCGGGACGGGAGGGATACCTGGCTGCCAGCACGCAGGGCAGGCCGGCAGCTGCGGCGGCCTTGGCGCTAAAGCCGGATTACCACCCGGAATAGTCCCACGGCTCCAGCTGGGCCGGATTAACAAGGATTCATCTACAAGGAGAGGAGATGAGGAGGGACTCTGTGCCCTGCGGGGGTCCCCGGCCTGGGGGAGCACCCACCTGCTGCCAGGGACACCCTGTGCCCTCGCTGGGCACAGGTGGGAGCCGTGGGGGCTCGCAGGTGGGTGCTATGAGCTGTGGGGACACTCAGGCTGTCACTGTGTGGCACAGGCAGGGCTGGCAGGACTGGCCGCCTGTCCCCGTGTGCTGCGCACCCACTGGCACAGTGTGTACTGCTGGGGACCGTGTGCGCTGCTGGGGACCGTGTGTGCTGCTGGGGACTGTGCCGTGCCGGGCCCTGACCGGGGGAACAGGCACAGCGCAGGAGCCAGGCTTGCCCAGGGTCATACACATCCTGCTGGCCACGCTGCCTGATGCAATGGACCTCCCATCCTGCATATCTGCTGGCACTGCCGACAGAGCTCCCCTGCCCAGCCCCCAGCTCCCGCCTCCCGCTGGGATTTTCCACCTCTTCAATGAGCTGCGTGGAAGCGAGGTGTGAGGCAGAGAGAGGGATGCGGTCCCTTCCAGGACCCAAACCCTCCCCGTGGTGCCCTGGTCCCCGAGGAAGGCTGGCCGGGAGCCGAGGTGAGCCCAGGACTGCCCGTGTGCCAGAGCAGGGCCGGGATTTGGGAGCCGGGCCGCCCCACACACGTGTCCCCCTCGCAGCGAGGGCGGGCAGGCTGTGTGCTGGCCGGGACGAGCGTGCGAGACCGAACGCAGCCTGACGGGGAGCGCAGACGTGGCCGGCGGGACGGGACGTGCCGTCCCACGCATCCGGCTCCGTGTTCTTCTGCCGGGGCTGCGGGACAGCACCGGGGCCCGGCCCAGGCTGCCTGGCCACCCCGCAGTGTTGGTGGGGTGTCACCAACTCTGGGAGCAGCCTGGCAGAGGTGGGAGGTCTGTCCTTGTGTCCCAGAGCCCGGCAGGCAGCAGAGAGGCACATGCCGGGAAATTGATGCAGCTTGCCCAGCACCCCCAGGAATGCGGCTCTGGGTGCCACAGCCTGGAGGGTTCTGTGCCCATGCATGTGGCCAGGTGCACACCATCAGCTGGGTGAGTGGGTGCTGGAGCTGCTGGTCAGGAGTGGGATGATGCCAGGCAGCATGTGGGCTACCCAACATGGCAGAGAAGATGGCAGCATCCCATCTGTGTGGTGGCACCCTGAGGGATGAGATCCCTGAGGAGATGCTCCTTGCCCAGAGCAGAGGGTTCCCAGCTAAGGTGGGCACACAGTGAGGTGGTGAAGCCACCAACCCCACCTGGAGGGGAACCAAGCCACCCCTCAGGGCCGCCCGTCACTCTGTATTTGCTGTTCTGCCTTATCGCAAGGCAAACAGCAGCAGGCAGGGCTCACACTGCCCGATCGAATCGTCTCATGCTCCCTCCTCTTTCATCTCCCCCCTTGCCCTGGCTACTGCCACCAGGAGAGCCTGGCCGGGGGGCAAAGGCCAGGGCCAGCTGGGGAAGTGGCAGTGAGTGGTGCTGGGCCCGTGCCAGGGCTGTGCCAGGGCCGTGCCAGGCTGCCCGGCGGGAGGAAGCGTCTGGGTGGCAGCACGAAGCCCGGTGCATGCTGAATGAGCCCAGCCGTGCCGCTTGCTATTCCGAGAGACGCTTGGGGGAAGAAGTTGGTATTTCCTGAGCTGCCCAGAGAGGTGTAATTATAACCTGGGAGAAGAAAGGGGCTGCAGACGAGAGTGCCCAGCCTTCCTGGCGCCCGTGGGGGAGCGGGCAGGGGAGTGGGCAGATGCTGCGTGCCACCAGCGGGATGCGGTGAAGCCCTGCCCGCAGGCAGCCCAGCGGCACTGGGGGGCTTAGGGAGGTGTTGGAACCTCACAGATCTGGTGCCCCCCCCCAATCCCATGCTGGGTGAGCGGTGGGTTCAGCGATGCCTGCCCGTGGCGGTGGGAAGGCGCAGAGTTAACGGTGGCTTTTGGACGTGCTGGCAGCCTTGTTCATGCCTGGATCCATCCCAAGCGGAGGCCTAGTGGAGGGGATAAATCATCACCCAGAACCCGCCCTGCGCTTCCCTCTCGTCCCCCGCATGGCTGAACCTTCTCATTTTGGTTCCTGCTGGCCTGTGTCCTGCCTCAGCCTCCCCACCTGGCTGGGTGCTACAGGTAGTGTGGCCCAAATATGTGCCCACCACCCCGGGCCAACCACAAGGGCTCGGCCCCCCTGGCAGTGCCAGCAGCCAGTGTGTGGCCTGGGATGACCCTGCCAGGTCTTTGTGGCCTGGATGGGCAGGGACAAGCAGGGCAGCAGCTCAGGAGACCGGAGGTGCTGGCACCCACACCCTGACGTGTCATCCTTCCCTTGCGTGCCAGCAGGACTGCTGGACCCGACTGTGCTGTGGGAGGGCTCCTCAGATTTCTGGGGACACCAGTCCCCTGGGAGCATAGAGATAGGCATGTCCCCTGCTCACCCCATGGCGACCCCAGGCAGCGGGGTGGTGGGGCAGCAGCATCCTCCCGGGACTGGGGACCGCGCTGCATCCCAGCCAGGCCTAACCTCCAGCTGGGTGGCAGCAGCCCTTGGCTGGACATAGCCCCAGTGTGGAGCCCCCTGGCCAGCCGGACAAGACCCCAGCCCCTCGGGGCAGTGGGGGGTGGCGGGGCCCTGCCCCGGCTGCCAGCCTGCCCCAGAAAGCCACCCTGTGCCGTTTCCCAGCGGGGCGGGGAGGGCCGGGGCTCGCACAGAGGCGGCTTTGTGCGGCGTGCCAAGGCGTCCCGCGCTCGGCAGCCCGGCCGCCTTCCCCTGCCAAGGAGCTGTCTCCCGGCCCCGCGCTCTTTCCTGCTCCGTTTGTCCAGCCCTGACGTGCCCCCGAGCCCCCCGCCTTGGCACCCCGGCAGCGGCGGGACGCGGGTGAGCCCTTCGCGCCGGGCAGCACCACGGGCTTTACATAACGGCGGCCGGGGGGTCCCTGAGCTCCCTGCCCCGTCCTCAGCCGCCCTCCCAAACGCCCCCACTCGCCTGCTGGCACCGGTTTGCAGGAGGGGAAACTGAGTCATGGAGCCGAGAGCTGCGGGCAGGGGAGTGGAGGTGGGCAGGCGGTGTGCATGGGGACTCTGGGGCTGGGCAGGGCTGTGCTGTGAGCAAGGGGACAGGGTGGGCTGTGGGATGTCTGGCTGGCCGAGAGGGCACCCGCACACTGGGGCTGCGGTGGGGCACTGGAGCTGGGGCTGAGTTCCGTGGGACATTGTGTGCTGGGCAGGCAGAAGGGAGGAGAAGAAGCACACCACCGTGATGCCTGGCTCGGTGACCCTCCCATCCCTGCCGTGCCACCAGCGCTGGTGCTGAGCCCAGCTCCAGAGTCCCTGGTGGAGGCAGGACTTGTGAGGCTCCAGGCCAGCCCCTCCGCTGCTCCTGCCCAGAGCTGGACCGCTGTTGCCTCCCTCTTGCAGAGCCTGAGCAGAGCCCATAGCAAGCCCAGCTGTCTCCCAGCCATGGATACCACGGACGTGCCTCTGCAGGCCGAGATGGTGGAACTGGTGCCCAACGGGAAGCACACGGCCGCACTCACCGCCTCCACTGTCCCCTCACTGGCGGGTGACAGGTAGGGCACTCAGGGCAAGGGGTGGTGCAGGGACTTGGGGGATCCTCCGAGCTGCTCCCGGCCCTTGAGATACCAGCCAGGGCTGGTGGTCCCTGTCTCTACTTTGGCTTCACTCCTCTCCCTCCATGGGCAGATTTGAAGAGAACCAGACTGGCGTGGCAGAGATGGAGGAGTTCCTGCCCCATGGCGCCGAGAAGAAGCAGACACACTTCACTGATGTGAGTAGCAGCACGGGCACAGTGGTGAGGGTAGGATGGGGCAAGCTCCCCGTGTGACTGGTGCATCCCCTCCCTGTTGTGTCCTGTAACAGTTTGAAGGGAAGACGTCTTTCGGAATGTCGGTCTTCAACCTGAGCAATGCCATCATGGGCAGCGGCATCCTGGGGCTGGCCTATGCCATGGCCAACACCGGCATCATCCTCTTCCTGTGAGTGCCATGGGGGCATGGGGGGGATGTTCAGGCATGGGGGGCTCCTCCAAGGGGATCAGTGGGTGCAGGGAATAAAGAAGTCTCTGGCTTGGGGTGATGCAGGGACCAGTGTCCTGCTGGCTGAGCTATGCCCACTGCTGGCAAAAGTCTGCCTGAGTGCCGTGCCCCACTTGGGGGAGGAGGAGGAGGGTGAAGGTTTGCCTTCCTTACTACAAAGTCAGATTTTCAAAAGTAGCTTGAAGGACATGAGTGACGGCTCCTATTGGGTGTGGAGACATGGACTGAATCTGCCCCTTGAACACCCAGCTGGTGCTGAGGCAAGGGGGTGGTATCCTGGGGGTGGTATGCTGGGACAGCTGCCCACAGGCAGAGCACATCTGCATGGGGCTTGCCTCACAGCCATGTCTGAGCCCTGTGCTGTGACCCACTGGTAACTGCTGTCCTCCTGCAGCTTCCTCCTCACAGCAGTGGCCCTGCTCTCCAGCTACTCCATCCACCTGCTGCTCAAGTCCTCAGGCATTGTAGGTGAGTGCCAACCCTCAGCAGGGCCATGCTGGGGCTCCCACCCTGACTCTCACCCACCACCACCGCTCCCTGTCCCACAGGCATCCGTGCCTATGAGCAGCTGGGCTATCGAGCGTTCGGCACGCCGGGGAAGCTGGCAGCGGCCATCGCCATCACGCTGCAGAACATCGGGGGTGAGCTGGGGGACACGCCGGGGCTGGGGATGGGGTGGCACCAGAGAACACCAGTGCACCAAGACCTCCTTCTGCCCTGCAGCCATGTCCAGCTACCTGTACATTGTCAAATCTGAAGTGCCTCTGGTCATCCAGACCTTCCTGAACCTGGAGGAGAAGACCACGTGAGTGCCTCCTGCCCACGCTGCCTGCGTGCCTTCCCCGGGCAGGCGCCGGGGCTCTGGCTCCAGCTGTGCAGCCCGTGGCAGGGATTTACTGTCATTAAGCCACTACTATTTTTGATAACTGTCAGTGCTGAATAAGCCCCTGGGTGAGATTAAACCGAGCTGAACTTCCAATCCCTGCTCCTCACATCCCCTTGGGATCAGGCTTTCCTCCTTGAGCAGAACCTGGGGCTGCAGGGTGGGGGTCTGGTTGGGTATAAGTCCCCCCACCCCATGCCCACATCCCCACTAGCAACTCTAGCCCTTGTGGGTGCACCACTGTGGGGGGAAGGCAGAGCCCTAGCTCAAGGGCCCCCAGGGATGCTGGCCTCAGGGTCTCCAAGGATGCTGTCTCAGGGGTCCCCAGGGATGTTAGCAGAGCAGGAATGCCAGCCTCAGGGGACACCAGTGCCCCTGGGATTTGCCAGCTGAAGGGTCCCTAGCAATGGCAGACAGCCCCCACAGTGGCTGCCTCTGCCTGCTGTGCCCCAGCAGACTGAGGTGGTGAGCAGGCCCTCTCCTTCCAGGGACTGGTACATGAATGGGAACTACCTGGTGATCCTGGTTTCTGTCACCATTATCCTGCCCCTGGCGCTCATGAAGCAGCTGGGTAAGTCAGGGAGATGCTACCCATGGCACTGGGGCCTGGCACCCTGGGTCTCCCACGGGGAGATGGTGCCAGCCTGGATGTGCTGGGCAAGGAGGGGACACTGAGCCGGTGCAAGGGTCCCGCCCGCACCCAGCAGCCACTCTCCTCCCTCCCCAGGCTACCTTGGCTACGCCAGCGGCTTCTCCCTCAGCTGTATGGTCTTCTTCCTGATCTCGGTGAGCGCCCGCTGGCACTGGCAGTGCCTTGGGGTGCCAAGCATCCCTCCTGCCGGGGTGTGAGGCTGGGCTGCTTGCTGTGGGGACAGCAGAGGCAGCAGGGACAGCGGGTGCTCGGGGCTGCAGAGACGCTGTGGCTGGGCTGTCAAGCTGCTGGGTTATTTTCGGCTGAAGGAACCGAATGTTGTGGAAAGGGAGAGGGGGGAAGGTGCTGGAGGGGCATCTGCACATGTGGCCCCTCCACGTGCTGCTGCCTGGCTCTGTCCTGCTGCCCACCCCCACAGGGACAGGCTGGGGGAGCAGCATTGCCACAGGGCAGCCCTAGCAAAGGGTGTCCCTGGGAGGGGTCCCAGCAGGGTCACTCTCCTGCTGGGCATGGGCAATGTGTGCTGGGAGCTGGGGGCACCAAGAACTGACTGGCCCCATGTCTCCCCCCTCACCCCAGGTCATCTACAAGAAGTTCCAGATCCCCTGCCCACTTCCAGAGCAGGAGGGAAACATCACGGGCATCCTCAACGTCACCACTGTCAGCACCAGTGACTACCAGAATGGCTACACAGTCCTCCAGGCCCCCGAGCAGGACACTTGCACACCCAGCTTCTTTACCCTGAACTCACAGGTAAGGACCTGAGGCTCTGGGTGAGCCCCCAACCTGTGCACCCAGTGAAGATAGGTGGTCCTGCTGCTGGCAGCCCCTGCCTCTGGGCCCCCAGCAGTCAGTCATGCTCCTCTCACACAGACAGCCTACACCATCCCCATCATGGCCTTCGCCTTTGTCTGCCACCCCGAGGTCCTGCCCATCTACACCGAGCTGAAGGAGTGAGTCCTGGGTGGGGGCACCCACGGGGAGGGGTGGGCTTCCCCCGGCGCCCACCCAAAGGCAGTGCCATCCATGTGGGGACCTGCGCCGGGGCAGCGTGGGGAGGTGGGTGATATGACCCTGGGTGGGGCAGTGGGTGGGTGGGTGCATGGTGGCTGATAGGACCTGGGATGGGTGGTATCAGTCTCAGGAGGTGGGTGATACAACCTGGGGTAGGTGGGTAGGCAATATCACCCCTGGGAGACTGGGGATATAACCCTGGGTGGGCGCTATCACCCCTGGGAGGTGTGTGATATGACTCAGAATGGGTGCAGGGATGGTGGTGTGGCCCCTGGGAGGTGGGTGATGTGACCTGGAGAGGGTGGGTGGCCGGTTGGTGCCACCCTGCCCAGGAAGGGGTACGCAGCCCCTCTCTGCACATCCCCCATGCGCCCCAGAGTGTTTTGGCATCACCTCTCCTCACTGGGTGGGTGCTCGGTGTCAGCGGGTGCCACGGGGCTGTGCTGAGCCCACCGTGTCCTGCAGCCCCTCCAAGAAGAAGATGCAGTGCATCTCCAACATCTCCATCATGGTCATGTACCTCATGTACTTCTTGGCTGCCCTCTTTGGCTACCTCACGTTTTACGGTGAGCTGTCGGGGAGGGGACTGGGCTGGCACACCTGTGCCAGGGGGGCGATGCTGCTGGGGCTCACCCAGGGGCTCCTTGGTGGTGTTCACAGACCGTGTGGAGTCAGAGCTGCTGCACACGTACAACAAGGTGGATCCCTTTGATGTGCTCATCCTGTGTGTGCGTGTGGCTGTGCTGACAGCTGTCACCCTCACCGTCCCCATCGTCCTCTTCCCGGTGAGTGACCCCACAGGAATGCCAGGTGGCTTCAGCACCAGGCTTTGAGAAGGGAAACTGAGGCAGTGATGAAGACAGGGATTGGGGAAAAGGACATTCTGGGTGCCAGGAGCAGGGCTGGGGCAGAGGCAGGGGTGATGGGGCAGAGGCAGGGCCACAGGGACAAGGCTGTGAAGGGGTGACAGGAACCACTGGGGCATCACGGTCAGAGCTTGGGAAGGGAAAGGGGTTATGGTGACCCGCAGGGCCGTAGGGACAGGGCTAGAGTGAGGGCAATGGGGACCAGCAGGACTGCAGGGACAGGGTATGGGTCCTGGCTCTGAGGATGGAGTGTGACACCCTGTCACTGTCCCCAGGTTCGTCGGGCCATCCAGCAGATGCTGTTCCAAGGGAAAGACTTCAGCTGGATCCGCCACATTGCCATTGCTGTGATCCTGCTGACCTTCATCAACCTCCTCGTCATCTTTGCCCCCTCCATTCTCGGCATCTTTGGCTTGATTGGTGGGTGTCAGTGCCCTGCTCCTGTCCCTCCTTGATCATGGGGTGTTGCAGCAGCATGCCAACCCCTGTCCTGACTGGTGCTCAGCTGTGACTGACCCTGCCGTGCCTCAGTTTCCCCGTCACCCTGCCAGGACCAGGTGGTTGCGTGGCTCACCTATCCCACAGCTGTCCTGCGGGCCGGTTCCCACAGCGCAGCGCCTGCACCGCTCTTCCCTGCGTGTTTCCCTTGATCCCCCCAGCCAGGCTCCCCCCCTCAGCGCTCAGCTCGGTGCCAGGGCTGCGGGAGGGGTGTGGGGACAGTGCCAGCACACTGCGTCCCTGGGTTCCTGGAAGGCTTTGCCAGGACTGGGGAGGGCAAGGAGGGAGTGGGGGTGGACAGGACCTGTCCTGGCAGTGGGGCTGGCAGGGCTGAGCTGCAGGGTGGGAGGCCCCTGCCCACTCTGTCCCTGTCTTCTCCAGGTGCCACCTCCGCTCCCTGCCTCATCTTCATCTTCCCTGCCATCTTCTACATCCGCATCATGCCCAAGGACAAGGAGCCGCTGCGCTCCACCCCCAAAATATTGGTAAGCGTGGGCAGGGGTACAAGGATGGGGACAGGCATGGGGCTCTGAGCCTGGCTGGGAACCCTGTCGCCCTGGCCATCCTTGAGTCCCTTCCTTGTCCCCACAGGCTGCCTGCTTTGCCCTCCTCGGAGTGGTCTTCATGATCATGAGCTTGAGCTTCATCATCATCGACTGGGCCACGGGTGGGGGGAAGAGCGGCGGCAGCCACTAGCCACTGCCGGTGCCCAAGCCAACCTCGCCCCCGCCCGCCCGGTGCCCAGGGAGAGCCCACCCTGGGCTCAGCCCCCATGCTGCAGCCCCACCAGGATTCCCTGGGGACTTCTGCTGTTGCTGCCCATCACCTGTGGTGACGGTGAGAGGGCCTGAGCCATGGCAGGCATGGAGACTCCTCGACCTGTGTCCGGGATGGGGCAGTGAGCCCGGGGCAGGTCCTGTGCCCCCCAGCCACTCCAGCGGGCACCTTCCCTGCTCTGCGCCTCAGTTCCCCCATCTGTAAAATGGGGAGAATAATACTGCCCTACCTCACCCGGAGCTGGCTGTCAGGTGGAGCTCTTGTGCACCCCAAGAGCCACCAGCAGCAGCAGGCACTGCCAGGGGCGCAGGGCACTGCCTGCCGCGGGGACCAAGGCTGGGCACTTCCCTGGCCTCCCCCAGATAGCATCAAGAGCCTGATGAACAGTGTCCGTGGGGGCTGGAATCCAGCGGGGCGGTCGGACCTGTGACAGCACCTGTGCCCAAGCCGCCCGCCCTCTCCCCTGCCATCCCCCATCCCCAGAGAGATGCCATCCACTGCCCTGGCATCGCAGGGGCACCCCGGTCCCTGTGGACAGGTGTGGCGCTCATGCTGTGGCTGGTGGTGCTCAGCCTGCTGCTCCTGAGCCTGAGGGGAACTGTTGGCTCCGGGTGCCTGTGGATGGGACCCTGCTGACCCTGGGCCATGTACGGGGGGGACCAGCTGCATTGCTCCAGGGAGGTGGCACACATGCCATGGGCTTTGCATCCATGCTGCGGCTGGGCTGCTGGGGCCTGGTGCACCCAGGGGGCATGAGGGGGATTTGGGGGCGGGCTGGGGGCAGCACTCACTGGGGGCAAGCTCGGGGCTCTGGAGGCACCCCTGTCTGCATGCCCAGATGCCAGGGTGATGGGCACCCCGGCAACACAAGCTGTCCCTGCTCGCCCTGCACCCTGGGCCAGCACTCAGACCCTACAGCCCTCATCCATCCACCCATCCATCCACGCCGCTGGGATCATCTATCCAAACCATGCCAAAACCCGGAGAGCGGCTCTCCCACCCCCCAGCTCCCCTCCCAGTATGGGGGCAGCCCGGCAGGGTGGGCAGCACAGGGCTGGGGGGTCTGTCCTGCGGCAACGTACATAAGAGACGTATTTTTTTATGAGGTGGTGGAGGCTGGGATGCTTTTTATAAATACTGTACATAAGAGTAGAACTTTTTTAACGTGTTGTGTTGCTCTGGGTAGCTCTGTATAATGTACATATCACATGGGGGGGCACTGGATTCTCACCATGTGCAGCGTGGCCCTGCTGTTCCTGTCACCAGCCTGGCTGTCCCAGGGCCACCCTGACACCTGTAAATTATTGCTGGGGCTGATGCTGGCGGTGGCAGGAGGCCCGAGGTGAGAATAAAGATGTGAATGTGCCCAGGTCTCAGGCATCACTGGGGTGGGTGAGGTGTTGGCATGCAGGCTGGCACCTCACACAGGCATCCTGAGGTGGCACGGACGGACGGATACGAGCCACACGGGTGCACAGACATGCGTGAGGACAGCAGGGATATATGGACGTGGATGTGCAGGATAGGTGCACACGGATGAACAGCAGGAGAGACACCATGGACATACAGCAGGACAGCACAGACACATGGACATGGATGTGCAGGGACCCCTGTGGGAGTTAGACCCTGGGGAAATTGGACTGTGAGGGAGTGGGATCCCTGGGGAGCAGGACACCTGTGAGAGCAGGATCCCCAAGACAACAGGACACGAGTGGGTGCACAGCCCTGGGGAGTGGGACTCCTGAGGAGTGGGATACGTGGGAGCAGGAGCCCAGCAAGTGCCATGGCAGTAGTATCCCTGGAGAGTGCTGGGGCTGCTCTGGAAGCAGGGCTCCAGGGAAGCGGTGCTGGGGCATCTCGTGTGTCGTGCCAGGGCAATGGGTGCCCCCAGTGCCCTCAGGGCCAGCCCCCAGCCCTCACCCATGGCACAGTGTGGAGTGGGGGTGAGCCCCCCTGGCCCTGGCCCCTCGCTCCCTCAGCTGGCCCCAGCTCTGGGCTCAGTGCCAGCTCGTTAGCAAAGCCTTATTAGCTCGGCAGCCCGCTCCCACGGGAACAGCCCTGCTCCCCCACAGCAGGCCCACGGGCACAGGCCTGCAGACCCCACGGGAGATGCTGTACCCTTCCCCTGGCATTCTGAGTGGAGAGCATCCCTGGCTGCCCTCATCCTGCTCAGCTGGTGCCGCTGGGGTGTGTGGAGAGGCTGCAGGGCCTGGGCAGGCATGAGGCAATGCTGTGGGGCTGGCATGGAGTGAGGGTGGCTACCTGGGCACGGACCAGCCCCCTGGGTCAGTGGGCACACCTGGCCCCCTCCTCAGGACCTGTGGGGAGTTCTGGTTCCTCAGGGAGCAGCCCTGGGAGATGGGGGACAGGGTGAGTGCCTGAGGGAGCCCCTGTTCTGGGAGAAACCTGGAGATGCCCCGTCCTGCCCAGTCCCATCCTGCCCCATCCCCTGTCACAGGCACCCCCAGCCCCAGAACCTGCCAAGGAGCTCCTTCCCCTGCAGCAGGGGACCCTGAGGAGTGAGAGATGCTCAAGCTCTGACCCACCACCCTGGGACACCGAGACTCCACAGAAGGTAGCCCTGAAACACAGCATCACCCAAACCGCTGTTCTCAGGGCTGCACCCACTGCTCTGCACCCAAAGGGCCCCAAAACGCGGCACCCAGACTCCACCTCCCTCCCTATGTCTATCCCGGGACACAACGTGTCCCACGCACACGTCCATCCCGGGACACACCGTGTCCCTGCTCCCCGCCCCTCCCCCGCCGTTACCGGCCGCTGCCGCCTGAGGGCCCGCGCGCCGACACCGAGCGGCCCCGCCCCGCAAGCCCCGCCCCGCAAGCCCCGCCCCGCAAGCCCCGCCCACCAGCACCGCCCCGACAGCGCCCCGCCCATCGGCTACGCCCCGTTGGCCCCGCCCCAGTAGGCCCCGCCCCCGGGCTCGCAGGGCGGGGCCTGTCGGGGCGGGCCGGGCCGGGCCGGCAGAGCCGCGGGCGCGCAGCAGCCGCCGCCGCCGCCGCCATGGGCTGCACCGTGAGCGCCGAGGACAAGGCGGCCGCCGAGCGCTCTCGCATGATCGACAAGAACCTGCGGGAGGACGGCGAGAAGGCGGCGCGGGAGGTGAAACTGCTGCTGCTGGGTAAGACCCCCCGGGCCCCACCCCCGGGCCCCCCATCTTGGCTGCTTCGCCCGGCTCGGCCCGGCCGGAACCGGGCGGCCTCGCCGCCTCCGCCCCCCGCTGCCCCGGGGCCATCCTGGGTACCAGCGCCCGGAGTGCCCCGCCCCGCCCCGGGGATCCCCCGTCTGTGGGATGCTGGCCCCAGCCCAGGGTTCGGGCTCTCCCCACGGTGAGCTGTGGGCTCCATCTCGGGCCGCGGGGATGTCCCCGGGAACCGGGGCCTGCCCCGCCCCAGGCTTCCGGGTTCCCCCCCTCCGATGGAGCAGCAGGCCGTAGGGTTTCCCCCAGGAGTCGAGTGTTGATCCCATCCCCGGTCTGAGGGATCTCCCCTAGGAGTGAGGTGTTGATCCCATCCCAAATCCCAGGGATCCCCCCAGGAGTGGGGTGTTGATCCCATCCCAGGTCCCAGGCATCCTCCCGAGGACTGGGGTGTTGATCCCATCCCAGGCATCCCCCCCAAGAGTGAGATGTTGATCCAATCCGAAATCCTAGGGATTTCCTCCAGGAGGGGGTTATTGATCTTATCCCAGTTTCCACGGATCCCCTCCTCCCCAGGATTGGGATGTTGACCCCATCTGATTCCCCCCAGGAGTGGGATGTTGACCCCATCCCAGCTCCCAGGGTTCCCCCACAGGAATGGCGCCCTGTACCCACAGCAGACTCTGGGTCCCCTCCACATTGGGGTTCTTTCCCCACCCCTCTGTGAGCAGGATGCCGGCCCATTCCAGGCTTTGGGGATCCCCCTGGCAGTGGGGTGCTGGCCCTACAGCAAGCCTTGGGTGCCCCTCAGAGAGGCTGCCACCCAACCCTGGGCTGTGGGGATCCCCCCAGAATTAGCTGCCACCCCACTATGGTACTGTGCTCCCGGCTGGTCAGTGTCCATCCCTTTGGGACAAAGGTGGGGGCGTCCCCACTCACCTGTTGGATGTTCCCCCCCAGCAAAGGTCCTGCAAGCTCGGGCACCCTGTCCCACCTGCCCAGGATCCCTGGACTCCCCCCTGGGCTGCTCTTACCCTGGCCTCTGGCTGTGGTGGAGGTAGCGGGGCTGAGAGCCACCCATTGCCCCGTGCCTTCCCCACTGGAGCCCTGGGACAGGCCCGAGCCTCTCCATCACCCTGCCCTCTCCGTGGGGGTTTGGGGGACTTGGGCCATTGCCTGCCGTGGGCAGGGCCCCCCACAGCCCACAGGCTCTCTGCCTCACGGACACTCGATTTGGGTACTGATAACGGGCCGCTTTCCTCTTCAAAGCGCCCTGGTGATGCTCCCATGGGCGTTCACAGCCCTGCCCTGTGCCTGCGGGCAAGGCAGCACTTCGTTATTTTAATTCATTATTTCCCTTAATGACTCCCAGTTGGGTTTTTTATTCCCTTTGCGAAATTCCCAGGGAGGGCCTCCCGCCAGGTGCGAGCTGGGAGCTGCGAGGCTCCCGTGGGGCAGCGAGACAGAGGGAACCCTGACAGAAAATGTCTTTGGACTCATCTGCTGTCTGCAGAGGAAGCTGCCAGCAGCAGGAAGTCACGCTGAAATCCGGCAGGCCTTTATTTGCTCAACCCCTGCCTGCCTTGAGAAATGCGTAATTAACGCCTCAAAATGCTCCTTTATCAGAGTGCGGCTCTTTTGCGTTCTGTTTTATTTTGATTCTTTTTGCCTTGGCACGAGCAGTGCTGGCAACAAAACCCATCCTGGGGACGTTGGGAGGGGGTCTGTGCTGTCTGGGGGGCTCCATGGTTGGGCACACTCGCTGCCCCGTTTTTTTCCTGTGGAAGGGAGAGTGAGGGGAGTGGAATCCCATGGGATAGTGGAGGAGCATGTGGTGGCTCTTTTCTGTGAGCTGCTCCCATGCTGGCTCTGCTGCCAGGTCTGCTCCTCTCAGCCCAGGGCCTGGTGGGGAGCAATGGGGAGGTCGCTGGCCAAGGGGGTTTGGCACCTCCAGCCTCGGGAGGCTCCTGGGACTGTCCAGGCAGTGTCACCTGGTGCTGTGAGCTCTGGGTGCCTGGGTAGGGAGGGCCCATCCTGTTGGTGCTGAGCGTCACCGAGGAGCAGGATTGTGCCTTAGGCTGACTGGCTGACATCCCTTTCCCAGGCATTGCTCTGTCCTGAAGTGGAGGCAGGAGGAGGAAGAGGATGTCCTCACTCCCTTCTGCTGGGGCCAGTGTTTACGAGCGGCATTTCTGATCTCAGCTGCTTTCTAAAGCCAAAAATAGAGCAAAATGGCTCTTTTTGTACATTAAGAAAAATGGCCTTTTCTTCCCCTTGCAGCTGTTCAGGTGTCAGTAGCACCACAGCCTTGGGTCAGCACTGCCCATTTCCGAGCTGAGCCTTGGCCGGAAAATCCTCCCAAGCCGGCAGGGAGCTGCTGGGCAGGTGTGGCCAGCACTGTCCCCTGGGGCTTGTGACATGTCCCCTCTGTGAGGTGGGACCCAGTGCTGGGGGGATGCTCCCACCTCCCTGCTGCTCGTCCTTTGTATGGTTTATTTTTTTTTCCCCATGGTCACGGGAAGCTTTGAGGAGACCTGAGGCCTCACGTGCCTTTTGGTGAGCACCACAGCTCCTCGTCACTCTCA